AAGATAATCATTTTTCAAAGTAAGACATTCCTTCAATGAGTTAGCAATACTTACCTTATCCTTAAGAATGATAATCTGCTTCTCAAGCTCAGTAATGACAGAATCACTTTCAAAAGCTTTCCTTTTGCCTTCATCAATCTGTTTCTTTAGATCTTCATTCTCTCATTTTGCTTGGATAAGCTCCTTTGCTAGCTTGTTGATTGCTTGTTTTGTCTCCATGGTTTCTTTGACCATCTTTTTCAACCTTTCATCGTCCTTTTCAGCCTCTTTCACCTGTGCATCATGAATTTCATTGTCATCATTATCTGAAATATCAGAGTTAGATAAAGACATGACATGAGGACCTCTTTCAAGAAAAGTAACATAAGAAAAATCATTAGTATTATCCTGAGGAAAATTACTATCACTTAAAGTAGAATTTTCAAACAGAGAAACTTTCATTGCTTTTCCTTTATTCCTATCCTTTTGTTCTTTCCTAGGAATACGACAGACATTGGATGCATGGCCTTTACCACCATAATTCCAGTATGTGAATTCAGTTTCTTTGGATTATTCTACTTTCTTTTCATTAAACCTAAACTTTGACGTCTTGTCAAAATTTTGAGGATTAGCCATGTTGCTATTCCTTCTCTTCTGTTGCCTTTGCAAAATCTGACTGAATTGCCTTGACAAGAATGTAAGATCATCATCAGAATTGTCATCCACAAAATTCTCAACCTATGTAGATTTTAAAGCAAGATTTTTTTCGTTTTGATTTAAATCAAAGTTCTGCATCTTAAAAGTTTTTATTGAACCTACCATTTCATCAACTTTACAGGTAGTCAAATCCCAATGTTCAGAGATGGTTTCAACCCTAATCTGGAATATTTTAGGTAAAGACCTTAAGATTTTCTCACAGATTTTTTTATCGCTAACTTTTTTTTCCCTAAGTGACACAATTCAGAAATTATTTCAAGAAGACTAGAATAAAAATCAGAAAAGGATTCATCTTCTTTCATCACAATATTGCCAAACTTATGAGAAAGCAACTGAATTTTGGACAACTTCACTTTTGAAGTTCCTTCATGAGTAACGTACAAATTATCCCAAGCTTCTTTAGTAGTTTTACAATTAGAAATTCTAGCATATTAAGATGGAATAACATAATTAATAATTGAATATAAAGCTTTGCTATTAGCATCATTACGCTCAGTTTCAATAGTAGTAAAAGAAAAAGTATCTTTTAACTCTTTGACTATTTTACCATCCACAATTGTATCTACTGTAGGAGGTGTATAGTCAGATTCAACTATTGCCCAAGTTTTACCACCAGAATTTTGCAAATAGGCTCTCATCTTTGAGTTTCAAAAATTGTAACTATCTCCTTCAAATAAAGGACCATGTTGATTAGAACCGCCTTCTTTCAATGCATAAGACATGATTTTGAAAACAATTTTTTGAAAAACAAATCAAAAACTTACCAACAAGGATCAACTCAGTGTGTAGAGATTGGCTCTGATACCAATTTGTGAGTCGTACGCAGCTGAATAAACTTTAGAAAGTTTTAGATTTTGTAAAATAGATCTTGTGTTTTTCGAACTTACTTTATTTTAGCAATTAAACAGTTAATCACATGCAGATAAAATAAAGCAAAGTATAAAGTTAGAGATGACACCTGGATTTTAGCAAGAAAACCCCAGTTGATAAAATACGTCAACTGTTATGGGAAAAACCTCATGGACTTGTGCAGTTCAAAGTAAACCAATCCAATATGCTTGAAACAAAGTATACCGAACTTTGACCCTGGCTCATACCCTATCGTTCTACACCACACCAACCACTAACGATCCTCTGGCTTTGCGACTCCCCGTCCAACAGCAACTTGACCTCAGGCTTACACTTGATATTTGTAGAAGAGTAACAAGTAGATCAGATAGCGCTCTATGAATGCTCCAACCCTTTCAAAGTGTGACTTCGTTTACTTCTGTTCTTCAATCGTCTGAATGATGTAGAAGAAGATCTGTTTCGTCTAATCGATGTTAATACGACTATATGATGACGATTAGGATTCGAACACCATAACTCTAAACTGTGTTTATGTGTGTGTGTTCTAGAAAGATATCAGAAAAATCAACTCTGATTTTCTACACAAACAATCTTCCTAAGGCTTTGAATAATAATGTAAAAGTCGTTAATAAACCAATGTATATGACATGGTTTATATAAAGTTTAGAATGACCTAATCCCTCTGAAAATAAGATAAAATTCGTGCATAGGATTTGGTACAATTTTAGACCAACTAGGAGAGAAATTTGAAATAGGAAACGAAACTTTTCATAAGCTATCAGGACTCTTAAACCTATTCAAAGAATTGGGAACCGGTTTAAGGATGGCAGAATGTATTTTGAGGCCAATGTTGAAGACTTGAACCTGTTCAAAGAATTGGGAACAGGTTCAAGGATGGCAGAATGATTTCTAGGTGAAATTCTAATGGCTTGAACCTGTTCCAAGAATTATGAACAGGTTTAAAGCTGCCAGACTTGATTCTTAAGGTTCTAGGCACTGTTTTTGGTATATTCTAAAAATTACCAAATATGGAATGTGTCTTAACCTTTTTGGATTTCTTCCTAATATGGTGTTCTTCCTTTTCTGTGATGATCACAGTTATAGCATCTTTGAACAACTTTTCAAATCTATAGTCTCCATCGATCTTAACTTGAATTACAACTCGACATGGACTTGTTTTGTTTACGATAATTGCCAAATATAAAATAATATCTCACATATTCTTTATTATATTACCATACATTTGTGCTAATGCCTCGCATTCTTTTTCTCCATCTTCTCAATAATGCCTTTGATGACCTTATTAGAAGATTCTTATTTTGTGAATGTGCTATTTTCAAGCCGTCCAACATTTTATACCATAAGTGTGGCTAGTTTAATAGTTGTTTATAAATTTGCCTTCTAAATTTTAGAGCTATATATCGATCACATAATATACCAAGATCACTCCTCCATTCAACCCGTAACAGTGAAAATTAAGCACCAATGATTCTAAGACGAGAATATTAAGCTTATAAATTGAGGACTTCTTCAATGATTGTTAATTCAAGTGTTCTTTATTTTTTATTTTTGATAAGTAAAAGTAATGATTATGTGATATGAAGTTGTGTTCACTTAAAATTTGATTTCATTATATTTTAAGTGAACTTATTCATTTAAGTGATACTTAGATTGCGTACTTAATTGGAGAATCACTTATTATATTAATTGAGCTGTCAAATGTCTTATTCCTTAAATAAGGTACCATCCTAAGTTTTGTAGTGTGACTCCTTAGATTGATACCATGATAGTATGTTCAACTTCCAATATCTCTCTTAATTTTGTAAAATTGATATGATCTTGTTTCTTTAATGGTATGGTGTACTTAATGTTGCGTGAAAGTTATTTGACCATGCATAGAGGATTAGCCTTGGCGTAACAGTAAGATTCTCCATTGTAACCTAGAGGTCACGGGTTCGAAACATGGAAGTAGCCTCTTCACATGTGGAGGTAAGGCAGCGTATATCTAACACTCACTAGACCCCGCAGTGGCGGGAACCTCGTGCACTGAGTTTGCCTTAGTTATACTATGCATAGTTTATAACTTTTTTTTAATGGTATCTTCAGAATTATTGTACATTAATTTATGCAAAAGGAACGGTGGTGACATCATTGTGTTCCATTATATAGGTTTTGCAACCGTGATGATTCAGTTTACTTTAGACATGAAATGACTTTAGATGCTAATGGGAGAAGACTCTTGGTAACATCTGGTTCAGTAAGAGCTCCCGTATGTCACGTAATTCTCCATTCTCTCTCTCTTTCTCTGTCTCTTTATATAAATATGTATATATATTTGTATTGTTACATTTCTCACACAAGTGCAGTGTGTTTGATCTTTTTTTTTTCCCAGAAAGTTAACAAAACATGAAGTGTGTTTGATGTGGTTTTATGCTGCTGTATCTAATATTGTTTTTTGCTAACTCATTAATCCTTACCATTCTTAGCCACGGGTTGGTTGTAAACTTACAGCTAATAATATATATATATATATATATCATACAATGGGCCTTTGCCATGCGTTCAAGATATGTAATGCTTTTGCTCTGATGCAAGTTTCCAAGTTCAAGGTCATACAAATGGAATGAGAGCTCTTCCTCGTAGTGTAGCTATTATGACCGTAGATTGGTACCTTACCTTACTCATTTTCTTGACTGGGTCAGCGAATCATTCAGTTCATGTCACATCCATATTATGAAGGTTTCTATCTAATTTTTCATTTAGTTTTGATTGGTTGGAGAGTTGGAGATCATCGGATGAAGTTGCCCCAGCAATGATTCAATAGAGGTTTCTTTTGTGTTTTCTATAGGCCAATTATGTTTTAGTTGATGAAAATTGTGTTATAATATAGTAATGTTTTGGCCATTTTATTGACTGGGTTAGCCAATCACTTAGTTATGATCACATTGATATCATGAAGGTTTCTGCCTTCTAACAATTCATTTATTTTTTGTTGGATGGAGATTGTAGTTTGCTCTAAGCAATGATTTAATAAAAGATCTCATTACTTGTTTTCTTTAGTTTGTCATCATTTTTTTTTTTTTTAAGGAGGCTATTATTTTGGTTTAATTCAATGAACATAATATTATAAATATATTGATCATTGTTTGACATAGTATTGTATGCATGCAATGCACGGGTAATACATTGCTTGACATAGTATTGTCCATTCTATCTAGTTTTTGACTGATGCTTATGCATACATCAATATAGCTTCTATGTTTTAATCAGGGACTCTATATGATCCAGTGGCAAATGGCAATGTACACAAATGTGCTCACTGTCACAGTGCATAGTGCATTTAGTAATTTGTTACTTCTCTCAAATATAGAGGAAGGCTTTGAAAATTTTGCTTTCCCTTTTCCTTTTGTCATGTCTAATTGTTATTACAAGGTAGCGACACGCGCGTACACAAGGAGTTGGCCTAGTGGTAAAATTACATGCTTTACTTTGTTTCAGGGCTGAACTTGTTAGAGGAGGATGACATTAAGTATCGAATTAGAAAACGAGATTATGAAAAAAAAAAAAAAAAAAAAAAAAGGAACCCCTCTTAAGGGATTATTAATTGAGCATGAGTTACATCTAGAAAAAAGGCCTTGCCAATAATAATATTCAAGAAACCCTATTTTAAATGGTACATTTGAAAGCAAATATTAGACGACAAACTATGTAATATATTTATTTTGGATTGCCTTGTAAGCCACAACCATTCCTCATACAGATAGTCCAACACCATATGGTTGTGCTTCAATCAACACTAACTAAATCTAGTACAAGTAATGTAGAGAATAGTTATACAATTTATTCTTCAAGAAATAGAGAGGCTTAGGAGACAGCTGCGGCACTTGATGGTATGCAAAACTCGAAGTCGTCCCTGCAAGAACTTGAAGTGGAATACACCGAAAATGCAAAAAAAAAAAAAAAAAAAAAAAAAAAAAAAAAAAGAAAAAAGAAAAAGAACAATATAAACAACGTAAGCAATACGTTTAATCAAAATGTGAGATTGAACAACTAACGTTAGTTTGCAACGAGAGGAATTAAATTTTTTTAGTTGTGTTTGAAGTGTTATAGTGTCATTCAAATATTGAACATCTAGCTAATGGAAAAAGAAATTCAAGGAGTGAAAGTGCAGCTAATTCACAAGCATCAAAAAAATATATTTACCTATTAGCTATGAAGCTGCCTCCACACTATGGGCATATTCGCCGCTGTTGTCAAATAGAAATAATTAGAACTGTTATAAAGATTGTCATTCGAGTACTGAAAATCTAGCTAATACAAAAAACAAAATTGGAGTGAAAGTGTAGAAAATTCAAAAAAGCCATATGAGATATGTACCTATTAGCTTTGAGGCCACCTCCTCAATTTGGCCATTTTCACTGCTGCTGTCATATAGAACCAATCTTTTATGTTGTTTAAGAACTTGAAAAGGACATGTTCCCATGAACGATTAAGCAGTAAAGTGCCAAAGACTCCACCAAATCCAACCCCAAATCCTAGCCCCATGCTGACATAAAATTCTCAGTTTATGAACCCATCCTCATTTCCTTGAATGATATCATCTTTACCGACAGAAGATTCCAGAGTTGTTTCATCTCCTGGGCACTTATTGGGAAGTGGAAGCCCGCAAAGTTCATCATTTCTAGAATATGCAGAGGCATCAAAGCTCTGCAATTGAGTGCTTGATGGAGTTTTCCCGGACAAGTTGTTATTTGACAAATTCAAGACAGCAAGAAAATACAAACGAGTAATGCTTGTAGGAATCTCACCAGATAGCTGATCTCTAGACAAGTCGAGAGATTCTAGCATTTTCATCTCACCAATCTTTTGAATGACAAGTCCATTCAATTCATTTCTCGAAAAGTTCAAATAATTCAATTCTGCAAGACTCGAGATTTCTTCTGGAATTTTTCCAACTAATCTATTGCCAGAAAGATCAATGTCTCCTATTCGTGCCAAAATATTTTTGTACTCACTCTCTTTCCCTTTCCATAGCACCAATGCATTATCTACATACATATTACCATAACTAGTATAACGACTTGTATAAGCACTATAGTGATGAGCAATGTTTCCTTCAGATTTATTCCGCTAAACCAAAGCCATAAAATTATTGAAGCACGACAGTATAATCCCAAATATATTGTTTTGGGAGAGGTCCAAGATTTGAATAGAGTTTAGATGGCATATTTCCAGAGGTATGTGTCCTTCCAACTTATTCAATCGTAGACTAAGAATAATTAAACTTGTCCAGTTTGTCCCTATCCATGCTTGTATTTTTCCTGATAATTTATTTTCTCCCATATCAATGATCTTCAAACGATTACAGTTCTTCAATGACGAAGGCAATTCTCCAGTGAAATTGTTATTGTGTAAGTGCAATGTTTGAATTCGATAGAGGGAACCCATAGAGTTAGGAATTTTTCCAGAGAAATTATTGTTAGCCAAATTAAGGATGACTAATTCATGCATATGCATCCAGCAATCAGGAAGCTCCCCTGATAATCAATTATTTGAGAGGTCAATAAAGCTGAGAAGCTCATTGGTTATCTTGCATAAGAAAGAAACTGACCCAGAAAACATATTTTTAGAGAGATTCAAAAATGTGATGTTGGGAGGAAATAGTGGCATTGGACATTCAAAACGATTATAGCTCAAATCTATCATAGGATAAAAAACTGTCTTAAATGATGTCAAATCAGGCACCATGCCATTCATGTGGTTGGAAGAGAGATTTATGTTAGACAGTTTAGGAGATAAATTCCAAAACTCGCTAGGGACAATATCTGAAATTCCAGAATTAGAGATATCAAGCGAAAAGTAATTGTTTTGAGTTAGAAGCCAGTTTGGGAAATGAGGGCCCAACTGGCAAGACCGCAACTCTATGTAATCGAGTTGAAAAGGAGGAATCCAATCAGAACTGAAGTTTAAAGATAGCGAGTTATCAGACAAGTCCAAATACTTCAAGTTGTTGACATGTGAGAGGTGGGTTTCAGAGATTGTACCTTGTAAAGAATTTGAATCGACGATCAACATTTCAAGCATTAAAAGTTGCCCAATACTTTTGGGTAGTGGTCCAACCAAGCTATTGTTCCTAAGATACAACACTCTTAATGAAGTTAATCCTTTTAAATCTGGTAAAGACCCACTCAATCGGTTGTTTGCAAGATCCAAGTCTCTCAATGAAGATAATCCTTTTAAATCTGGTAAAGACCCACCAAATCGATTGTTTGAAAGATACAACTCTCTCAATGAAGATAGTCCGGTTAAATCTGGTAAAGACCCATTCAATTGATTACCATCAAGATACAATTCCTTCAAAGATGCAAGTCTTGTGATACTGTGAGGCAGAGAACCACCAAGTTGATTCGAATCCAAATTCAATGTTTGTAAACTAGTACAGTTCCCAATGGATTTTGGAATCCCACCTTCAAGTTGATTGCCGCAGAAAGAAAGATAGGAAAGGGAATTAAAGTTTCCGAAAGAATTAGGGATCAGACCTTGTAAATTGTTATAAGAAAGGTCTACATGAACAAGACTAGTATTGAAATTGAAAAACCAACTGTATATTGAAGAATTGAAAGAATTAAAAGAGAGATTAAGGACAGCAAGAGACAATGCAGAAGAATTTGTCAATGGAAGTTGGGGTGAAATGATACCATGGAGAGGGAGACCACAATCAGTCAAGTGCAATTCCGTTAGGAGAGGGAGCTTATTGGGTGCTTCCATCCATTCTATTGCATTGCTAAGATTAACATTGGTCAGATCAAGGTATCTTAATAAAGAAAGATGAGAAACCCACTCTAAACTTTTTACACTCACTTCATAATTATGGCCCAAATCAAGAGAACGCAATTCAGAAAGATTCCCAAACTGATTAGGAATCATACCGAATAAACGAGTATATGAAAGATTGAGGAATTGCAATCTGCTAAAGGAACCAATGAATTCTGGGAAATGGCTCCATGTAAAATTGTTTGAACTGAGGTCCAAATACTTCAAATGCTGCAATTCAAGCAATGAAGGACTAATCTTACCTCTCAAACGCTGATAATCATGTTGTGACCAGTCTAAGCGACTGTGAAGATCGAGCGCCATCACATGACCAGTGCGGTTGCTACATTGGACTCCTCTCCATTTGCAGCACTCTTCAGTTGAGTTCCCCCAAGAAGAAAGAACGCCATAATCATCAACGAGCCCTTCTTTAAACTAAAGGAGAGCTTCTCTCTCCCTCTCTATGCACCTCGCTACTTTACCAACACTTGAATTACTGAATAATCCAAGAGACGGTTTCATTTTCAAGCACAATATTACTAAAAAAAACACAACCAACACTTTGAAATGTTCAAACAACATTTCTCCGCTCATCATTTTCAGAATTGGCTGGTGAAGACAACTATCACGAAACACCAAAACTCTTGGTTCTCTTTATCATCTCTAGCCATGTGATGACCCCTATTTATAGTAAGACTGGAGTTCGTAGCCACTCGAGGCAGGGTCGCAAGAGTTGGCCTGAATTGTTCAAGGACTAAGTCTTGTCAGAGAGTAGCGGATGTGAGACTGAAATAGAGTTATAACTATTTCCTTTGAGATAGTGAATTGATTTGCATGAGACGGCAATAATCTATGATTTTATTTTTTTGTTTTTTCGGTTTATTTATGAACTTCATCAAGTGATCATTTTTAGAAGGGATAATTACATTTACCTTCTATGAGATTAAGCGTAATGACACATAACATTCTTAACGTTTCAAATATTACAAGACCTCCCTTAAATGCGATCTCGGGAAGGTAGTCTTAGAAATCTATGTAAATGTACTAATATACCCTCCATTATATATTAATAATTATGACAAGTTATCAATTGACACTTATACCCTAATAGCTCTCTTTCATGGTTTGAGCCCTAAATTTGCAAGCGTTAATGGAGCTCTCGGTTCTGTAACCTTTTCATTGTTGCTTGGGGCTTGCCTGTTAAAACTGGGATTCGCCAATAAATCCCTCCACCGCCGTCCATCCTTTCTTTCTTTCTCTCTTACCGGCGGCAACTAATTTTTGGTTTTCTAAAGCAAACGCCTAATATATATGTGTGTGTATATATATCTATACGGTCAATCCCAAGCACCCAAATAGACCTAATTCATGTCGTTCCGGTGACAACCCAAGCTTACCCTCTCAAACGGCTCCTGTGCTTCTATTCATCACCACTGTACCCTCTTCGGCTCCCCTGTTAATGGCTGTGATCAAGTCCCTCTACAGCACTCCTTTTCCTCCACCACGACAATCAACACCACATCGTCACCGCCGCCGCCGCTGGAGACCATGTCGTTGTCGGCCTTAACAGACCCTCGCCGCCAGCCCTGCAAAATCAGTAGCACCACCATCATTGCCGCCGGCCCTGCAAAATTTGTACTCTGAATTTACTCCACAGTATTGATACTCTTAGCTACTGCCCTTTTTTCTCTACCTCTGCGCCTTCTCCCTCTTTCTCACACACACTCTCTCTTTCTCTCTAAAGAAGGAACAACCCAAAAAAATAAAGCAGAGGAGAGAGAGAGAGAGAGCCTGAAATGCTACCAAGGGCTAACGGCGTCGGTTGGATGGGAGGAGAAGAGGACGACGCAGTTTTGTGGACAAGAAACAACGATGGGGATACAAAGGATGACGACATGAACGCTTCTCTCTCTACCTTCAAATCCATGCTCGAAAGTGACTGGTATATAAACAATGCTCTCAACCCATCTCACCAAGACATCCACACCATCCCAAACTACCATGAATTCAAGGGCATGAACATGACCTTCTGTTCAAACCCAACTGACCACAATCTGCTGTTACAACCAATGGACTCGTCCTCCTCCTGTTCTCTGTCATAGGCGGCATTTACCCTCGACCCATCACAGATAACAGTCGTTTTTGCCACCCAAATCTTGTTTCTCTTCACTCTTTAATGTTGTTTGCAACAACTTTTTGACAATGGCTTCGATTTGGGCTGTGACGCTACTTTTCTTGCAAATTAGAGCTCAAATTCCCCTGTTTTGACGGGTTTCAATAGTTTGAGTTCCTGAACTCACAAGGCCACTCCGGAGTTGAATTCCAACTCTGAGTTGAACGTTAAAGAGTATCAATACTCTGAATTTGTAGAGAGATTCATGCAATGGCAAGCTTGCCGGCAACGGAATTGGGTCTCGATCTGTTTCTAGGGTTTGTGGTTGAGTGTCTGAATCTAGGGCTAGTTGAGGTGGGTGGTGGTGGAGGGCATATAAAATTGGGGTATATAAGTAATTTTAAGTAAAAAATAAAAATGAAAATGTTTTTGTAATTTGTTTAGGGCAAATGTGGTATTTCATACTTAAAAATGGCTGATGTTATCAAAAATGGCATTGACCGGCGTTGTCTTTTACCGAAGGGGGCTAAGTGTTACGACAGAGCAAACTTGAGGGAGGACGGTGTAAATTTTTAAACGTAAAAGATACTGCCCGTAATTAGCCCTAACCTCAGAAGAGATGAGTGTAATTATCCCTTTTTAGAATTAGTGAAGAAGAAGGTTGGTTTGTTTATATTCTCTAGCTAGTCGTGTGATAACCTTTATTATTTTATCTCTGTCGGTCGGGTATTAAAGTCGTCAATAATATCATTTTCCATTTAGGAATTGATGCACCACAATGCTAACATTCTTCTCATTGGATCTATCCAATCACATGCCTAAATTAATCATGCAAAAATATGTTAATATGTTTTAACAATTTTACCTGTCACCCCAATGAAGGTGTGCACCTCAAAGTCAGCCATGGTCCCATACATGATACATATATCTCTTCTTTCGTCAAAAAGAAAAGTCCACATCAAAGTCTTCTATGGCTCCAATGCAACATTGTTTCTTCTGATCAAGATATACTTTCTTTGTGGAAATTTACAAGTCTATGGCCATTACTTTTCTTTAACAAAAATTTTCTTTGTGAAAATTTCATCAAGGTAGACATACTTTCTCTTTAAAGACAAACTTTTATAGTCTTTGGACATAACCGAAGCGAAAAAGACCTCGGATGAATATGAGTTGTATTTTTAAAACTACTGGATAGTTAACAATTTTAGAATGAACAAATTTTAGAATGAACGACTAACATGCGTTATCTATGCTAATATATTCTTTCTTATTTAATTTATTATATCTTGTTGTTTTCCTTTCTCTTCTTTTCTTCTCTTTTCTTTTTTCTTTTGATTAAATGCAAATGGTTCATTTCTATGTGAATTATGTTGTTTCTAATTACAATTTTTTTTTTTTTCTTTCTTTTTCCTTCTAATTATAAATGTTGAGAAACTCATCTTTATACATATTCTCTATTAATCTCTAGCCATGTGATGACCCCTATTTATAGTAAGACTGGAGTTCGTAGCCACTCGAGGTAGGGGAATTGGCTTGAATTGTTCAATGACTAAGTCTTGTAAGAGAGTAGCGGAAGTGAGAATGAAATAGAGAGTTATAAACATTTCCTTTGAGATAATGAATTGATTTACAAGAGACGGCAAAAATCAATGATTTTATTTTTTTGTTTTTTGGGTTTATTTATGTACTTGCTCATGTGATCATTTTTAAAATTAGTGAAGAAAAAGGTTGGTTTGTTTATGTTCTCTAGTTAGTCATGTGATCACATTTATTTATCGAACTATCTTGAAACCTTTTCTTTTGATTTCTTTTTTCTTTTCATTTTTTTGCCAAATTCCAATACCACATCGAAAAGAAAATTTGGAAAAGTAAAAAAATACGAAATTTTAAACATAATATAGTCAAAAATGTTGGTAAGAGTTGCTATCTTATATTCATTATGGGGTTAAAAGAGATTAAATTAACAAGGAAAATAGAATAATGAATAAAAGAAAGTTAGAATGATAGAAAGTGAGATAAAATAAAGAAACATGATTGAAAAATAATTCAATTTTATTGATGCATTTGACTGTGAGGTGCAGGACCATTACAAAAAAGATATTACCTTGTTTATAACATTCTAAAATGACAAATTTCTAAAACCAAGCAACAAGATTACAGTTAACTAAAATAAAACTCTACTTGATACACACATCTTTATCCAAATATTAAATAGGGCAAAGTACAGAAAACCCCCCCTCGACTTGTAGCATTTTTCAGTAAACCCCCTCGTCTAAATTTTTATCAAATAACCCCCCTTAACTTGTAACCCTTTTCCAATAAATCCCTCTTATCTAATTTTTTACCAAATAACCCCCCTCAACTATTTAAGAGGGGTAAAAGAGTTAATATTTAGATCAAAATGTCCTTTTATTTAAATCTTAATTCTTCCGAACTTTAAAAATTCATATCTCACAAACCGTAAATTTAAAAATTCTAAATAATATATACACTGAAAGATTATGAAATAAGGATTCCAAAAATTTAAGATTTGTACAACAAACCTTCATAACCAGAGATAAATAGGTAATCTAAAAATCAACTCTAATAATCTTATTTTATTTTTGAAAAATAAAATACTAGAGATATTAGGAAGAAAATTTTCAGAATTATTCATTTACATATGGAGCCGAATATATAAAAAATTTAGCCCCAATAGAGATCAATTTCATGAGATATTATATTTTGCGTATAAGTATTTTCATTCTTTTATAGACTCGCCATTTAAAAAATAAATAAAAATGAGTATTCGGTCTCTATTGGGGCTAATTTTTTTATATGTTATGCTCCATATGAAAATGAATAATTCTGAATTTCTTTTATAAAAAGTAAAATAAAATAAAATAAAATAAAAAGTAAAATAAAATAAGATTGTTATAATAGATTTTTAGATTGTCTATTTCTCTTTGGTTATGAAGTTTTGTTAAACAAATCTTATATTTCTAGAATCCTTGTTTTATAAGCTTTTCGTTCATATATTATTTGTAATATTTGGATGTACGGTTTGTGAGATATGAATTTTTGAAATTCAAAAAAATTAAGATTTAAATAAAAAGAAATTTTGGTCCAAATATTGACTCTTTTACCCCCTTAAATAGTTGAGGGGTATTTGGTAAAAAAGTAGACAAGAAGGATTTATTGGAAAATGGTTACAAGTTGAGGGGGTTATTTGGTAAAAAATTAGACGAGGGGATTTACTGAAAAATGCTACAAGTCGAGGAGGGTTTCTGTACTTTGCCCTATTAAATATCCTCTTTTATTTCAATCACGTCGCTAACTAGTTTTTTTATAACACTTTTACTTGATAATTTATCTCCTTTAACAATTCTAATGATTTCTTCATAATCTAAAATCATGTACAATTTAAGCACAATACAACTACTTTATCATATTATCACTTAGGAAACTATCACATTATCACAAAATAGCCTCACATGACCAGCCAATTACTAGCCACCACACTGCCACGTAATTTTGCCAAAAAAAGGTGTCAACATATATGAGTATTATATATGTGTTTTATATCTTTTTCAGTATCTATCCAACAGGCCCCTTCCCTTATCAATGAAAGTGAGACAGTTTATATATATATATATATATATATATATATATATAAAGATTAATTTTAGTTTTATATTTTAATTAATTAGATTGGATACGGCTGTCACTACACAAATAATGAGAAATGTGGCACAATTTAATTATAGCATTAATTAAAAATAAAATAAAATAATATCATCCAAAAATGAAATGGGCTCTCACCTAATTTCCATATATATATATATATATATTTTTTATAATTTTATTGACAATCAATTATGATGTGTGAATGCAGGTCTCACTAGTGAGGACTGAGGACTTAGGGCCTAAGTATTGTCTTTTTTTCTTTAAAGTAAATAGTAATAGTTGAAAAGGTATATTTGCTTGCTTTGCTTATCTTCATTCATTTTTTTTTTCTTAGTTTCCACTCATTTTATTTTTCCGTCAAACAAAAAAAACATGGGATTGTTATGAGAACTTTCCGAAGCCATAAATTTAGGAAGAGTCCTGCCATTTAGCCTGACAAATAAAAACCTACTACTTCACCGAATTTATGTGGCTATTTATGTGTCAAATATAATAGGATACATATTAAGATATAAGGAAATTAACTATTTAGAAAGTTGTACCTTTTTTTTTAGGTTTCATCTTAATCTAGTATCTTTGTTAGGCGATTGAGGTGTCAATCACATATATCAAATTTACATTGCATCTCTGTAAGAACTCTTGACATACTTTAGACATCTCCTATATATATATAATTAGATTGATCATTAATATACATCAATTACCTAGATAGGATCAAATTCTTATATTTGAGTACCATGAAACTTGCTAGGAAAAAAAATAATAATAATAATAAATGATACAACCAGAATTAAAAAAATAAGGAAATGGGCTATGAAAAATTGAAAAATAAGAAAGGAAAAAGAGACATATTTTATGGAAATAAATAAGAATAGTAACGATGCCTGTTTAAGTTGAAGTTTTAGAATAACACGTCATATTTTATTTCTGTCGGTTTTAAGTAGGGTATTAAAATCATCAATAATATTATTTTCCATTTAGGAATTGATGCACCACAACTCTAACATGCTTCTCATTGGATCTATCCAATCACATGCCTTAATTAATCCTCCAAAAATATGTTAATATATTTTAACAAATTTACCTATTACCACAATGGAAAGGAAATCAAAACAGGAGTCGTCAAGGTGTGCAACTCAAAGTCAGCTATGGTCCCATACATGATACATATATCTCTTATTTCGTCAAAAAGAAAGGTCCACATCAAACTCTTCTATGGCTGCAATGCAACATTGTTTCTTCTGATCGAGACATACTTTCTTTGTGGAAATTTAAAAGTCTATGGCCATTACTCTTCTTTAACACATACTTTCTTTGTGGAAATTTCGTCAGGGTAGACATTCTTTCTTTTTGAAGATAGACTTTTATATATAGTCTTTGGACAAATGTGAAGCGAAAAAGACCACCGATGAATGAGTTGTATTTTGAAAACTATTAGACAGCTAACAATTTAAGAATGAATGACTAACATGCGTTATCTATGCCAATTTTTTTCTATTTAATTTATTATATCTTCTTGTTTCCTTTCCTTTCCTTTCTTTTTTCTTTTGATTAAATGCAAAATGGTTGATTTCCATTCTTAATTTCTATCATTTAGTTATTTATGTTGTGAAAATTCTATGTGAATTATGTTGTTTCTAATTACAAATGTTTTTTTTTTTTTTTTTCCTAATTATAAATGTTGAGAAACTCATCTTTTTTTTCTTTTCTTTTTTTCCTTTTCCTCTGTTCCTACATTTTTGTGAAGTCAAATTGAAATTTAATTATACGGACAAGGCCTTAATTAATCCTCTGATCTCATTTATGGCCTCATTTTCTTTTCCCAAAAAGAAAAGACAAAGAAATCACTACCCAA